CACTCCCAGCAGAAATACTCCAGGTGGACAACTTCAGCAATCAGGAGCTCCCCAGTTGCTCATAGAAAATCCCACCTTGGAGTTTACAAAGACTTATGGGTAGAAAAGCCACACTAAGTAATTTACTACACCGCAATCTTTATAGAAGCTGACTGCCACATCTTCATCCCGTGGAGCAGCTGGTGGGTTCACACTTAAGCCTTTCCCTTAGCACCTCAGCGCTTACCACTGCTCTGCCAGGGTCGTTTCATGGACTGGGTTAGTGGCTCCAGAACCTGGCTACCCCGCAGAACCTCCTCTCGGGCCCCACCTCCAGCCTTGGAGTGGCTCTGTGGCTGTGGAGTGAGGCCCCTCCAGGGGCAGACAGGTAGGGACAGTGAGGTGACCTGTCTGCTTTCAGTGCAAGGACTTGGTTGTGACAGCGAGATTACAGTGCTGGCTATTCTTGGGTCACTCACGGCAGAGCTCTAATCCTTTGTCTTGAAAACCTCAGAGCCACGTGCTTGCTGGACTCTGCGACCTATTTTTGGACATAGGTGAGTGGAGAAGTGACCTTGTGGGGCGTCACTGCCTCTTGGCAGCAGGGACTGTGTGTGCGGCCGGGCAGCAGCAGGCTAGTGCTGTCTCAGGCGTTTTACTGACACCCTAGAAAGAATGTGTGCCACTCACGGCTTCTAGACGTTCCATATCGAGTGGCCCAGACTAATGAAGTTTAAGGATTGTGGCTATGCGAGGTCTGGGACGCTGGACATAAAAAGATGAAAAAAATTTTGCCAAGATTAGGAGTTTTCATGAAGTAAAGCAAAAGTTGATTGAAATTGGTTTACATGGACTGAGGATGGCAGTGCTGTGGGTTGGTGGGAGCGGAGTCGATGATGATGCAGTTATCCCTGTCTGAAGGCAGAGAAAGCCTTCGTGTGTGGAGCTTGGCTGTCTGAAACTCAGCTGCACAAGCTGATTTTGAGAGATTCAGGCTTGGTCTAAGAGAGCCGGGGGAGCGTTATCTTGAGTGAGTTTTTCTTTCTGATCCCTTCTCCTTGCCAGGTGCCGTCTGAACCTCAGTCTCTCAGGGCTCAACTGCGTCCTTCAGCAGCAGACCCCAGCTGGCGGCAGGGCTGGTCTGCTGCCCCGGGCCTGGAGCTGAGCCACACGTGACGTAAGCAGGGGAGGCAGTCCCAACAGGCGTGGGTGGAGCGGGCTTTTGGTCTGTCCCTGCCCTGGGCTTGGGGTCACACTAAGTGGCAAGGGGACCTTAACCTGGGCTTGCTTCCTTTGCTAGGTGTTTACAGTGTGCCAGACTGTGGACTGCTCTGCCTGAGGCAGGTGAAACACGATCTCTGGTTTGTGCTGTCTGGTTCCCTGGTCTGCAAACCTTGACTGAGGGAGCGTGGTCCAGCCTGCTGCTTAAGGGTCTGGCCCTGTGCACCTGGAAGTCTGGGTCCTCTGAGGGGTCAAGCTGAGTGGACTCCAGCAGGAATCGAGAAGCCCTGGCTTAGGGCACCATTCCTCTGAAACTGAAGGCTGCCCTATTGTCACATCGAAGCCCCTTAATTCAGAGCTCTGAGGGCACAGGGTATGTGGGGTGGCAGGCAGAGAACCATGAAAGGTGCAGGACAGTGGGTGTGCAGGGCTCAGCTTTGCTGTGGTGGAATGGGAGGCTGCTGCCACACATTTCCAGAAAATGAACACGCTCTCGGAAGCTGAGACAGGAACTTGAAGTGCAGGCCAGCTGTGGCCGTGAGGATGCCCATGACCCTCACGCGTCCGTTTCTGTGCCAGGGTCCTGGCCTAGAGAAGGCACCATGGCGTTGGCAGGGTGATTGGGTTTCTAGGAGCTGTGTTAGGGGACAGGGACGTCTGCTAAGCAACGGTTCTCCGTCTGAGGGGCTTGGCTGGTGGGGGCTGCTCTTGGGCGGCAGAGGGCTGGCTGGCAAGCGAGCGAGAGCAGCCAAGTGGCAGTTGGAGGCACTCTGGCTTTGTTCCCCTTTAAATGCCAGGCCTGAGACAGGCACAGAAAGTTGGCTGCCTTTTATGCTGAAATGGTGGGGGTGCCAGTTCTATGTAAGGTCACTGTTTCTGCTCGGTTGCCAAGGGAGCTATATTTGGGCTAGCTTTCATGAATGTGAAAACTGACCCCAACCTGCAAGTACGACAAAGTGAAAAGGGAACATTAGCAGTGGGAAAGCCTGCATCCGTGGTGCTGTGGACTTGTGCCTGGACTTGACTCTGAGTGCACTTGACTGCTCGCAGAACTCGTCTACCTTTAGGTTTGACTTGAAAGCTTGCATTCAGGGAAGCTTTGTGGGAGACCTGTGGCGGTGCCCTCGAGCAGCGGCTCCTCGGACGGAGCTGCAATGTGGAGGTGAGCTGGAACGGCCCCAGCCTGCCTGGAGACCATCCGCTGGTGCCTGGACAGGGGGTGCCTCTCCCCAGCGCACACGTGTATACACCTAATCCAGGACTGGATAGAATGAGGGCCCGACTGCCTTATCCTCTAGACGAGTCTTCCTTTCCTGGTAGCTTTCCATTTTCTAATTTTCTCTCTGGTTTTACAGGTTGTGGACTCACTCTGGACCGTGTGTGCCCTCACACCAGCGACTCCAGGCCGAGGATCTGTGCTCCTGTCCCTCACCTGTCCTCAGAGGGGACTGGCTCCGCTCTGCTCATTCTCGGAGGCAAAGTAGGGAGAATCCTTGAGCTTCAGGAGGAAAAGTAGCCAAGAGTTCACAGCGAGACCCCAGAAGCCTCTGGCAGGACAGGTAGTAAAACTGCGTGCCTGGGATTTCTCACTGATGGACAGGTCTGCGGTGAGGTGAGCGGAGGCCTCTGCCAGGAGGACTACTGAAGGAGCAGATGGTCAGCTGATAAAAACGTGTTGGGTGGGTTTTTTGTGAAGGTGTCAGTGCATCTTGAGTTTAAATTTTGAGGCACAAATAAAAGTTTTTTTTCACCTGACTCACTACACTAGCATGGTGCCTTTCAGCCTTTGATGGTGACCCTCCCTCTGAACCTTCTGCTGTGTGACTCAGTGCATGTGTCCCCGTCTAAGAAACGCTGCTTCTGGGCCTGCACCAGCCCTCCACGCGTGGTTGCAGATCAGACCTGTCTCACTGCGATCTGCAGGTTTTCACTGGGCTGTTTTAGGGAAGTAGGTTGCCATCCCTTTCTTCCTAGTCTGTCTGATTCTGGAAGCTGTGCTGAAACATCTTGAGCACCGTGTGAGAGTGTGAAGTGCCCTGGCCGGGAATGGAACCTTGGGTCCGTGTGCGAATTCTGAACCACCAGTCCTCAGATTGATTCTTGGACCCTACCAATGGGTCGCAACCCCAAAGTGTTCTAACTCTGTTGAAGATCTAAGAGAACTGGCAGAAATTGCTCTGTACCGACAAACGAGATAGGGAATGGGAAAAGTCAGAGTGTTGTGGGTAAGGAGGGGTCAGGGGTCCTAAGTTTTGGGGCGGTTGGTTTATAGGACAACCTGGATTCTTCACTGAATCATTCTAGAAGATCCTCAAAGGTGCTGTCAGAAGCAAAGTGCACTTCCGAGTTGGACTTTTTTTTAAAGCAGGTATTCTTCAGACGGGGAGAATACAGGAACAGGCCTTGGCCTAATGGCCTAAGTCGGCAGCACTGTGGGGCCGACTCCAGCCCACGGCATCTCCGTGTGGGTCCCGCTAGAACTGCTCCATGGAGTTTCCACTGGGTGATTTTTCAGAAGTAAATCAAGGCTCCAGAGGTGACTGGGTGGACTCGAGCCCCTGACCTTTGTAACAAGCAGCCCAGCTGTTTGCACCACAGGTCCTGCTGCTCTGCTTCCTGTGATGGTGGAGTTGCCTCAGTAGTTAAACCCAGGGGGCCACTGTCTGGTCAGATGTCTCAAGGTGCCCTATTTTCACTCTGCTGCTGGAGTTGACCCTTCAGTGTCATTAATCAGCCCTCCAAGGTCAGATCCTGGGTCTGCGTGGTCTCACCCACTAGCCTAGCAGAGACCTTTGGCGGTACGCAGGTTAGCCCCTCAAACTCCTAACCAAGAGGGCTGTGGTGATGCACTGATGGCATGAGACGTCCTAAAACCACTCCCAATAAAAACAATCTGTCGAGAATTATTAAAGTGCCTCACCTAAGTTCAGATTTATTGATGTTCATTGATGCCATGATTTGAGACCAAGAGTTGGTTCATCACCCAGTAAGTGATGTCATACACTTGGTGACAATGCCTTTCGAATGGGATTTCCCCCAATGGCAGGTAGTGTCTGTGCCCTGACCCTCTTCATGTACCCAGAACCCTCTGGTTCTTGAATTTTAGAGTGGTTCCCCACCTGGACACCCTGCACTTGACAGGCTTCCTCTCCTTCCTGACACAGACGGTCACTTTGTCGTTTGAAATTTCTCAGTGTATGCGGTTATCCAGGCTCCTTACATTCTGCCAAGTTCCGTGCCCCCACCTTCTCATGAACGGAGGGTGCTTCCCACCCCAGGGATCATGTTCTCAGAAAGGCCCACGGGGCTCATCCTTGGGTTGAAGAGTCGTGGTTGTGTGCGGGGTCAGAAATGTTGACGCAGCTTGAGGGCGGATTGGCTGGCAGTGTGCCCCTGCGCTGCGGACGGGTACGTGCCCTTGGCACTGCTGCTAAGGCACCTGGTGCTGTCGACCAGCCTCGAGTCGCCCCGTGGATGTTTCCAAAATAGCTGTGTACCAACCGCTGGCTCTGAGATGCCCGGCCCTAAGGTGGCCTGCTCCCTGCCGGTGGGGGATCCCCACTTTGCATCCTCAGAGTGTTCTATGTGAAGCAGTTCATTTTTCTCAGCCAAGGTTGGGATGTCTCAGACCTGGAGGGCAGTTCTCTTGGATGAACCCAGGACAGGCTTCCGTGACAGTCATGACTCCACCTTGTATGTCCCGTTGGGAAGAAGGGAGCTGTAGGGAGTTGGAGCGCTCACCGATTGAAAAGAGCTGAGAGCCACATCTCTGTGCTGGGAAGCAGGACTTGGGGCTGGCGTCAGCGCTGGTACAGCCAGATGAGGCCAGCCTTGTGCAGCTCCCTCCACAGAGCGGCTTCCAGAAGCAGGTCGTGGTTTGCGTAGAAGATCAGTGGTTTCTTTGTTCTGTCGAAATAGTGGTCAGAAAATTTCCGGTAGTTTCTTGTGATGAATCCATAGGCACTAACCTGTATGAGGACAGTCATCGAGTTAGCCTTCACTGACCTGTGCACACAGACTCAGGTGAAGTGACAGAAACTCAGAAAGACACAGCTCTGCTGAGCGAAATAAGTCAGTCACAAAAGGACAAATATTGTATTAGTCCGTTATTGTGAAAGTTAAGGAAAGGTTTATATATTGGAGGACATTGTCTTTGTTGGTTACCAGGGGTGGGAGGGAAGGGGAGGGAATGCTGTTAGATAGATAGAGATAAATATTGATTTGGGTGAAGAGAAGGGCAATGTACCAAATGTGAGTGACCAATATGGCAGCATTGAGGATGAGAAAGACAGAGAGAGTTACATGGGCAGTACAAACAACAAATATGAACCCCTTTGCAAATACAATACTGAGTTGTCAATGAAAGCAAACATGGGTATAGGGACGGATAGATGGGTGAACAAGCTAAACAATTATGTATGTCTAAATGGAGAGTGTATCCAAGATCATATACAGGGTTGGCAGACAATGGGCCTCTCAGGGTGCAGAAGAGTATGAAGGGATGGACACTGGGAGGAGGTAACTATGGGGAGGAAGTGGGAGGGGAGCTGCTGCATTGTAAATTTTGGTCAATGACATGAGACAAAGTATATGTGAACTGCTGTATGAAAAGTGAATTTACTCTGTAAATCTTCACCCAAATCCTAATAAAAAAAAAAAAAAGAAAGACACAGCTCCCCACCTTCCTTAGGTACCTTGTGTGAAGATGCAGGTGACCAGTAGCCATGGCTAACCCTGTGTCAGGCACCGTGAGCTCTCACACCTTTCCCCACCTTAACCTGACGACAGTCAAGTAACACCCCATTTTCAAGTGGGGAAACAGATTCAGAGAGATCACCAAAAGTATCCCCAGGAGGAATGTGGCAGGTGAGTGGTAGAGCTGGGTTTCGAACCCAAGGCCAAGAACATGAAGTTCAAGGATGAAGGCAAAAGCCCGGGACTCCTGTTCCCATGGGGACTGCAGGCGAGAGATGTCTGCTTTAGAGCAGGGAGAGGGGGACGGCCCCAGTCTGGAGTGGCGTGTGACCACCAGCTCCTGTACTGGGTGGCATGGGTCACTGCCTGACTGCACAGCTGCTCAGCCTCTCTGCCCCCCACAGTGCACACAGTGACTTCAGAGATTTTGCACGAGACTAAACCTGCTGCCCTGTGAAGAAGATACTGCAGTCTGAAGGGTGGCCGATACAGAGTGGCTGCCCTGGGAAGGAGCAGTGAAGGAAGGGGGATAGGGCAGGGGAAGTGGAATAAGAGCAAGTCTGGCCTGGGAGCTGTCACTCAGCCCGGGGCTCAGGGACACAGCAGCCCTGGCACCTCTGTCAGCTCCTTCCGCAGGGGTCCCTTCCCCACAGGAGAGGCCCAGATTCCCGGTGTGGGGGTGACAGGCCTCGGGAGGATCAAATCAGATCCCACTGACACCTAGAGTACCTGAGAGAGGGCCTCTTACCTGGTCACAGGTATGCAAAGCTGTCAGCAGCATGAGGGCACCAGTACTGGGCATATACAGGTCTCGAAAACTCGTGTTGATCAACTCTGATTTCAAAAACCTGGAAGCAAACCGAGGTTTCAATACCAGGAATACGTGTGGGGCCCACACAAGCTGGTGGGTATGCCCATTACGCTTGACCGAGTCTCGGGCTGGCAGACCTCAACACTGGTCCTAGCCTAACAGACTCCCTAGTTGGGGGAAAAAAAGCAGGTGACCTGAACTTTGGTTGAAATAAAAACACGTTGGTCAGGGAGTTGGGGTGAGAAAGGGGGAGGGGATGGCTTGTCCCCCAAGGATCCCGACCCCAGCCCAGCTCCCTGGCTCCTTTGCAGCCCCCCGCGTCAACCCCCTGCTACAAAGCACCAGAATTGCCAGGGCATCGGTGGCCTCTGTACAGCCTGAGAGCTGAGGGCCTCTGTCACCAGAGCCCTGTAAGAGGCACCGGAACGCAGGTCCTGCGCCTAGAGTCACGGGTTTGGGGGTGCACACGGTGCAGAGCGAAGCCTCAGGGCAGTGCTTGTGGGCCCGGAGCAACACGGCTCCTCGGCAGCCTGGTCTGAGCCTGTGTCCTCTGTAAAATGGGGTGTGACTCCCAGGCTCCCCATCTGCTCTGGAGGCCAGTGCCAGCCTCCACAGCCTGTGGCAGGTCGTCTCAGCTGTGGCACTGCTGGCATTGGGTGAGACTACCCTCTGGGGTGGGGCTGGCCTGCGCACTGTGGGATGTTCAGCACCAGCCCTGGCCCCTACCCACTGGAGGTACTCTAACCACCTTGTGACAACCAAGTATGTCTCCAAACAAAAACCCACTGTCGTCAGATCAGCGACCCCATGTGCTACAGGGAACTGCCCTATGGAGTTTTCCTGGCTTACGGAAGCCGGCCACCAGGTCTTTCTTCCGCAGCACCACTCGGTGGGTTTGAACCGCCAACCTTTGGCTTAGTTGTTGTTGTTATGTGCCGTCGAGTTAGCCCTGACTCATAGCGACCCCTCCTTGGGTT